ACGAATTATAATATTGAAAATTCGTTATCACTGCTTACCTCGAGAGTTTAAAATACACGGAAGTTTACATTCAAATATAAATGTTCTCAATTTAATTTAGTTTTCTTATTTTGTTATAAGATTGTGTCGTAGAGTTCTAGAGTTCGGTGTTCTAATTGAAACTAGTTCTCATTTAATTTCAAACATCTACGTCCTAAAACTTTACTTGCATAGGTTAATAACGTTTTGTTCATTACTACTTTGGATCTCGAATAAGACTACTCGATGTAATTTGCTACAAAAAAGGATACGAAGGAATAAAAATACGTAATATTCTTTACCTATCTTGGAGTATAAATAAAGTTGTTTTGTCAAGATTTTTGTGCATAAAGTTTGAAACTATCAAACCGATTATGTCAAAATTTGGCCACTATGTAATGTGGTCTAACTCAAAACATACAATAGTGTTTTGTTCAATTTTAAACATAGTGATAATCGTGCAAAGTCGAGGCTTAATAATACAAAGTATAGATTCGCTACTCAACTAATTATTACCTGATTAATAAGTTCCTTAATAGTCGTAATTGATTATTTTGCTTTAAGACCACTGACTACTTAATCTAACGTCTTAATGTGATCAAAAAAACCTTATTATAAAATTTAGGGACGAGTTGAGCATAAAACCTCTTATGGTAACATGAATTTTGACGTTAGGCGTCAAAGTCTCAAGAAGCTGTAAGGGGATTAAAAATTGAATAATCTCAAAAGTGAGTTCTGCTGATTAAAATCAAAGCGCGCCGGATGTTTGTAAGTGCGACAGAGCGCGGCGCGGCGCGGCCCGGAGCGTAACGACATTATAAAATTGTTTCATGTAGTGTAAAAACGAATAAGCAGTTGTTTTGTGAAATAAATTGACGACTTTTTGACTTCTTAACTTGCTTATTGTTCAACGAATCAACTTACAATTTTCCTAACTTTTAAGCATGTTAAAATTATAATATCTTTTTATTTAAAGATAAATGTTCTTGTATTTAAAACAACAATATTTAAATATACTAATAAAACTGTATATTCAAAAGTAGATATAATTTTCGTATCTTTTAATTGATCGAATAAATCATGGCTTCTTTAATAAATTTCACGGAGTTGAAATCTTATTTTTCACTTCATTATGATGTGGCGTAATAGCTTTGACAATAATTAATTTAGCTCGTTATGATGCGCCGTACAACATTTTGTATTTAAAATTAAAGATGAAGAATTGAATTAGTTTGATTTTTGAATAATTGGGGATATGTATGTACATGCATATGGTTTTATTGTACACTTATTACCGTTTATTTCTGAGACCAAAATCTCTCTCTAAAACATCGTCATCCCTGTCATTATCTTTGACAAAACAGAGATAACAACATATTTTAAACGTGCATTTTGGTCTCGGAAACTCACGGTTAGTTAAATAGTTTGATATTGCGTCATTCCAATGACATAATCTATTCAATTTGGTCAAAAATTTTACATGTAGGATCAATTATCGAATTCTAAATGTTCATATTACGAGATTAATGGTAATAAACCAGTGTAAGACTTCACTTGCTTTATACATATAAATATTAGTGCTATAATACAGAATACAGTGTAGAATGTATACCTTCAAATCAGATCTTGCCACAGATGTTCAGGTTCCCACGTCGCGCCTACCCCCAGGTTAATAGACTTAATTCCATGTCGACTATTACTGGTGTGTAGTTTGAACCAATTATTTTTATTAGGGTAAATGTTACATTTTATGTCGCATCATGATTACCGACACGAATTAGTTTCTTGTTTGATACAGTTATCAACGTACTGTCTTGGAAATGTTATTATATAAAACACCTTTACTATCTAACGAGCTGCCGCCCGCGAATTTGTCTGCGCGGAATAAAAAAAAACTTAATCAGTAGCCTATGTATTCTTCCAGACATGTTCTATATGTATGCCAAAATTCAGCGAGATCCGAGCAGCCCTTATGGAGATACCTTCACACAAACATCCATCCAAACATTCACATTTATAATATTAGTAAAAAGTAAGAAGTAGGATATAGTGAGATTTAGTAGATATTGATCCCAAGGGTTTTTTATAATTTAATAAAAAAGGGAACAGTTTTTTTTTTAATTTAGTTGCCACGGTGTTAACTGATTCGAAGTAGGTTTATTTAATGAAAATAATATAAAGCATTTCTCGCTGAAAATTTTATAAATTTTGAGTTTTAGTAACACAGTAAGAGTAAATTAATAAAGCCTTTTCTTTGTTCCAAATAAACTTTAACATTAATCAAATAAAAAAAATCTTTCATGATCGTAAACTCTGAGGGCTATCGCGAATAATGTCGATATGCGTTTTCGTAACGTCAACGAAAAAAACAAAATTTGCATGAGACCTGTTAAACTTTACAGTCGATAAACAAATTTAATAAAAATTTGTTCATGACTTTGTGAATATTTTCTCGCAAATTTTCGTGCAAGGCCCTCTGTTTACAATTACTGAGTAAACTAGACAATATTTAATTGAGAGAAGCTCGGTTATAAATACTTAAGAGTAAATTTGTAAATTGGATTTTATGAATAATTCACGATTTACACGTCTAATAAACAAGAGAACTTTAAAATATTGTTTCTCATCTCCTCTTGTCGAGTAAACAAACGTTGTTATTATGACTTCAGTCGCCTCCGACTTGATTTATCAATTCTTTACGGAATATGAACTGAAAACGTTTATGCTAATTTGCTTATTGCTGTATATTTTTTTATTTCTATAGGAAAATGAATATAAAATAGTAAACGAATTCCTTAACTCATATAATAAATCCTTTATATATACAGAAGTTGATTTTTTCAAGCTTCGTATTTTTATTTCCAAAGGTATTTTATTAAGGTGTCAGTAAATAATTGTTGTCATCTTCTCCCATCTACCAAACAAATTGTATCATTAGACGTGCGAATTTGTCTAAATAAACGAAGTCAAATTTGAATAATTTACGAAAAAAAAAATAATATACAGCGCCTAGTCGTGGCTTGTAATCATTCATAATTTATTTACTTTGTTTGCCTTTAAGATGACCTTGACATTCGCTAATTAAAAATTGAAATTGAAAATAAATAAATAAATGCTTTATTGTAATACACAATCATGTAGGAGCCTTGGCTCCTGAGCTAGAGCGTAGCCTTATGTTTGTGAAACTAATAAAAAGGTTCTTTTTAAATTGACAATTCTAGTAAATGGAAGTAACATTCCGATGTTAAATTTGAAAACGAATATCATTTTGACATTTTAATAAACATGTTGATTAATATAGCGCATTTATCTTATTTATATTCACTAAATAAACCAGGAAACAGTCTTGAATAATGTTTTCATCTCCTTTCGTCGACGAAACAAATGGTGCTCATATCAAGTCGCCGAAGACTGCATTCACTGAGCTAATTATAATACAAGCTGTGACGAAGTTATGTATTTAAATTAAATGAATGGATACATTATTAATGAAAAAGATGATGGAAAAATGATTACACTTAGTATGAGGAGAATTTGGGCTGATTATGATGAGGCAGTATTTTAATTACATTTTTAATTTAAAAATATTTTAACCATTTTATCGTACGCTGATACATTACCAATAATCATGATTATTTTTAAATATGACTTAAATGAATGCCATCTTGATAAATAATAACAAAGAACTTGTGCTGGAACCAGTTTTGGTCATACATATTTAGGGGAAACAATCTCTTATAACCACGTCGACGTACGTAATATCAATCCCCGGCGGTCAAAGGGTTAAACATGTGTTTAACTAAATAGTGTCTAACTGTTTTTTCCGATGTTCGATTCAGTATAACATAATGTTGTCTCTGTTTTATCAAAGGACTTTTAAGAGATGACAATAAGTATGTCGTAGATTTGCGAGCGGTTTATAATTTAGATGGGCGATATCATATTCCGATACTGCTTTATTCAGTCAGTGCGCACACCGGCGCGGGCGATGTTTCTAGACCAAGCCTATCACTTGTCAAACGACCACGCGCACTACTGACAGATACAATGACACTGACAGACGTCAATGACACACCATACAAGCGATGTTGCCATTCGAATTAAATAATTAACGTCATAAATTGAAATTCTCCGACGTGTTTTAATGTAGGTGACTGCAATGGAATTAAATGATCACATAACTTAGTATTATTCTTTAAGGCTTAGGTCTTAAATTCCAATATAACAATTTGTAAATATTATATATTTAAAACTCAATACTTTTTCAATCCATATGAAATCGAATATGTTATTTTGATCTTTCTTTCAATATCGAAGGATCTGTGAAAATAGGGAGCTTTGTAACATTGACACGTTCGTTATAAACCGTTTATAGGATGCGATGACGGCCGCGCGTGAGACGTGAGGTGGCACTTCATGTTCGCGGCCCATACAAAAATTCAACCTCATATAATATTTATACCGTTTCTCTGAAGTAAGTATCTCTAAGATGCTTCCAATTGGTTATCAATCTATGTCAATTTTACCTGTTAATACGTTTTTAATACGCATTATTTTTTATCAAGTTCTTTTTACAATGTTTTCTAGCTCGATTAGATCATTATGTTATGTTTATTTTATTTAATTAGTATATAAAAAGTATAACTAATTTTAACTTTAATTAATACACGAATATATTCTATATTACACTTTTACTATAAATGTATAATTAAAAGTCTTAGATTTAAAAAAATATTTGAAAGATATATAATATATTTTGCTCTGCCTAATACATCTCTATTTCGCAGTTGAAATGTATCCTCCGTTTTCCTGAACATGACCGCAACGCACGTTCCTCAGCCACGAGTATCGTATATATGATAGGGTATAAAGCTATGTACTAAACCATCTTGCATTTATCGTTAAAATTATTTATTTCAACGACAATGCGTTTAAGAGAAAACGCGATAATAACTTATAGTTTCTGTGATGTAGGTAGCTAGAAAATCACTTTGTGTATATTACCCTATTGAATGTCATATTTTGTATAACAGTCGAATTAAACATCTTGGACTTGACACTCGTGTTTCATTGTATATATTACAGTGGCGACGAGGATTAACAAAAAAATATACGCGCAAGGTGTTATTTTGCGCGGCGTGCAGACATTTAGTGTTGTGCGGCGTATTTACACTTGTTTACGTTCGATAATGTCGGTGGGACTAATCGGCGCCTTCGATGTGCGGAGTGCCGCGTGGGCGTCCTACGTGGACCGGCTGGAGATGTACTTCGTTGCCAACGGAATCAAGGCGGAGGTGCAGCTGCCGACGTTGATCGCAGTAATGGGGGAGGAAGCATATGAACTCTTAGTGAATTTGGCCAGCCCCAGGAAGCCTTCCGATCTGAAGTTCAAGGATGCGGTGGATTTAATGCAACAGCATCTGGAACCGACGCCGTCCGTGCTCGCGGAACGGTACAAGTTCAGGCAGCGCAGACAAGCCACCGAGGAAAATGTATCTGAATACGTGGCGGAACTTAAGAAACTGTCACGGTACTGTGCCTTCGGAAGCAACCTCAACGAAAATCTACGCGATCAATTTGTGTGTGGCCTCCGCAGTGATGTCATACGGCAGCGCCTATTCGCAGAGGACGACTCGTTGACCTTCACGAAAGCAGTTAAAATAGCAAGCACGTTGGAAGCGGCAGAGCGGGATGCGGCGGCTGTGGAGAAGCCTCTGGACGATGGCAGTCAAGCGACGCAGGCTGTGCATGCGTTAAGGCATAGCGGGGTGCGTAGTGTTCTTCCTAAGGAAATAAGAGGCAAAGGGACGCCGGGCGGCGCGCCTGGTTCGCGTGGCGGAGCGACGAGTGGACGCAGCGTTTCAGTCGGTGCGGTGAGCTGGCGCGGCGGAGCGGCCGCCGGAGAGAGAGACATAAGCCGGTACGCAGCTTGTACAGGCTGCGGGTCATTGGATCATCGGTACACAGTATGTCGGTTCCGTAATTATATGTGCAGCTGGTGCAGGCGGAAGGGACATTTGCGGCGCGTGTGTCCTGAGCGCGGCAGTCGTGGGTCCGGCGGGCAGCGGGCCGCCGA